AAATATGAAAGTTAACAGCGTTAGTGCTTAAACATAGTTAACCCTGATAGGTATATGATTATTTCACTGTGTCATATCAACTGCTCGTTGAATGACTATGAGTGACGAAACAAAGTTAGTCAAGTAGCAAGAAGTTTTTCACTTTAATAATATCCCGAAAATTGCTTGGAAAGATTAGGAAAAGTCACCAGAACAAATTTTTGATTCTTAAATTCGTTTCAGAACGAGTCAAACCCGTTTACCACTGCGAAAGTATCAATAAGAATTCTGTCATGGTGTACATGAAAACGAGACGGTGATACAGCGATCTCTGGTGCGCATCCTGTGAGGGAACTGGTTCTGCATGTAGAATGTTTAAACAGATACGCATGACCGCACACAAACACAATATAATACGGAATATTACCCTTGGTATAGAATTTTGTGTGTTGTGTTTTCCAGAGAAATATAACTGTGGTCAAGTTAGCTAATTCAGTAAGTGCTAATTCTGAAGTAAGACATGGTTTGGTTTATTAGAGAGTCTTTATTTCGACATATACGTCCTTTTGGGACACTACGTAGACAGAGCCCTTGAAAAAAGGCTAATCCCATATAATTTTTTTTAAATTTCTGAGACATCCCTTCCAAGTAATTATTCGCTGTAATCCTCTCATTCAATGCTATATAGTCTGAGCTACTGAAAAGCGTTGTTAAATAAACTGTAAATAAATAACGAAAACATATTATAATGAGTAAGTATGTGAAGGGATAGACGATATATTCCTTCATGTATTTGTATATAATTGAAATAATTTTTTATGTTAATAATGTAACTACAAGAAACCCGATAATTGAAGATGTGACAGTGTCCAGGGAGTGTATTAATTTATTTTGATTCTCTTCAAAACGTGAAACGAATCCTACTCCTTCTTTGAGTTAACGCTTCGCCGAATACTACTGTGAGTAATTGTGATTCTAATATAAAATATCGCTTTTGACTTCGCCAGGACTGCGAATACCTTTGGTAGCAGCAGCTTACATGACGTGATGCCATCATCTCAACTTCCTCGCAGATTTCTGACTTCGTATTATTCCATTCTCTAGACATGTGTTTGCTGTCTTATATCTAAATAGGATGTGAATATCATCAAAATGGGGTCCGCAGTGGCCGCGCGGTCTGAGGCGTGGGCCTTGTGCCGCTTGGTCGCTGGGACCGTGGGTTCGAATCCCACTCAAGCCATGGATGTTGTCCTGTGTACGGGTAGAGGCCTTGCGACGGGCCGATCCGTCGTCCAAGGAGGACTACCGAATATCTATAGATCGAGCCAACGAAAAAGTTGGGACCCGCAGTGCTCAGGCACTTAAAGAACGGGTCGTTCCCAGTATCCAATATATCATCAAAATTCCGTATGTACTTATAGCACTGTTACTTTTAAAATAGACGTACTATGTAACTTATTTTACGGTAACAGCGTAATTTAACTGACGCACGACTGGGCCCAGTAAGACATATAAATTTTAAGACGTGTTTACTGTGTCGTATTTAGAATTGTAATATATACTATTAACTGGATCTTTGCATAATAGAGCCTATTTTAAAAGATGCCTACTTCAATGTAATAGTTCTGATTTAACGGATTCAATATGAGGCCCATTTGTAGGATATAAAATTTATTCGTATTTAAATTAGGCAATAAAAGAGAAAAGATACCGCAAATTATCTGACGTTGCTACACGAGGTTGTGAGCAATGCCTTTGGTCTGTAGTGCCGTGATGTGAGATGTATTGTGCGTCATGCAGACAGGCTGAAGCAGTTAAACGCACGCTGAGTGTCTTCTGTCTTGATCTCGTTCACGCATACGATCAGGAATTTAAGATTCTACCCTCACATCGCGGGGGTGTTCTTTAATTAATATGCAAATATTTCTATTTTTTTTTACCTGTCGCTCATATTCAGGTACGTACAAGTATTTCTGTTCTTAGAACTTTCTTTTCTCCTCAGTTTTAATTAGTTATTTGGTATTGAAATATAAAAACGAAAGAAGCCGACAGTAATTCCTTTATAAACTCCCAAATGCTGAATTCGTGGATTTATTCTAACGATATTATGCCCAAATAAAATGCAGTAATTCCTAGTAATGTAAACTGTGTATAATATAAACTCTTCATGAGATGGAGAACTTTTGGCATTAAAGAACTTTCCAAAGTTGTACGACAGAGCATCGTGCTTTGTATCGATAATACACAGTCGTTAGTGGGACTCTGTATGTATTCCTTCAAAGAGGTTCGTATGCATTGATCCATATGTGATTGTGTAGTCTCCATTGTTCGGAACACTGGAGAAGTTTGGTTTATCTACCAGCTTGATACGTTACAGAAGCTGAAACATTCCACTGCCAACTCATCTTGCATTTCCTGGCAAAATTGGCCATGTTCTGTTCAGCGTTAACGTATGTTTCATCGTAGTTCATTTGTTGAGGATATAGAACAAATTATCTGTTTTACTAAACCCGAAGTTTCAAAAACGTGTTCATGAAATCCAGTCATTGGACCATTGGAATTCTGCATAGAAATTATAATTTCGGTTTTGAAAAATTGCAGGTCTGCGTTGTACCACAAATTTCCCTAAGCTGAATTTTCGCTTTTGTTCACGTTATGTTAGCGTGAGAATCTGTGTGCATATAATAAGCTACAGTTTATGACTGAGTGACTGGCTATGTGCATTATGACTGACCATTGTAATCGTTTCCATGGTAATGCTGTTACGATATTTTTCAGCCTTATGTTTTGCGTGGCTGACCGTAAAATTACTCTTTAAGTCTGGCTTAAATAGTTTCGGTAACCCACAGTTATTTTATTTCAGTTTTCTTCCTTATTTAAGGAAGTTTATTGGTACCCTTAAGCACGTAAATAGAAACCCGCAGACATTCGAACCGATGTCAAATTACAGTAAAAAGAAAAATCTTTTGTGATAGAAGTTACCACTTAAGAAGCTTTGCCTTACGTCTGGAAGAAGATGAGACAGAACACACTCACTGAGATAAGTTACCTTAACTTTTGTATTGTAACGAATCTTTCGTTTGTTGACCGTGTAAAATTATGTTTCACGTTATTTTTAAATAAAAGACAAATTTCCCGCTTGTTCCTGTAGGAGCCAGTAAATGATTTCATTTAATCTGATAAGAAATAAATAACCAATTTCATTATATATGTCTTCCTTGCTACATTATGTATTTTTACCTGTTCAGTATATTCCTTGGGGATTTGGAACAAACGTTTATAGACTCAAAAATTAATGACAGATGTCAGATCTTATCTTAAATCAGTACGCATATAAAGTACATAAATCTAGTATTATTACGTATACTGTTTGTTTGTGTGCCTGTCCCTCAAATGGTTTATTTTCATAATATTAAAAAAGTCTCTGCACATTTATGTTCACATTATTATTGATTTCATAAACAATGATTATGCTGTGTAATGAATATAATTACACAGATGCTCATTATGTAATTGTGTATACTTTTTTCTTTTATTTATAAATGTTCTTTTCAGTACGTTTTTAAACGCTGTTAATTATTTTTAATTTCAGACACGTTACATTGTTACCGTCTTTTGTTTTTTTCCTCTTTGTATTTAATTACCGTAGTTGGCACAGTGTCTGTAACCCGTTAAAGCCCAATGCACAAATATACGTCACACCTGCTTCAACAATCAATAACTTTTCATTTACGGGTTTCATATTGTTCTCAGTGTAAACGGTTATATCTTTAAACAGCTTTAAGCATTTGATATTTGTGATGGTGAAGTGTCGTGTTTTCTTCGCGGTACGGACTGGATTCTTAAATATTATAAAGCAATTAGCATTTCGAAAAAGCATATCAGGTTATGCAAGGCTCGTTAACACACTGTTTGATCAGTGGAAGTGGGAAAGGCGAATGTGGAAGTCTGTCTGCTTTTGATGGAATTCCTTTCTATATACACCATGTCTTTTGACATTGTTGGAATTAATCC